TTTAAAACATTCTGGAAACCTCAAATTCATCATCAGCAAATGGTAACAGTAAACATCTAGGATCTATAATACAAAATATATTCAAATAAATAACAACTACAATAATATAAGAGCCTGTGTATGTGTCAGTCTGTCAGTGCCATAGCTCCAAGAGGAAAGAACCTACAGACCTGAAACTTTGCATGCATACTAAAGAGATTCTGAGGGTGTACACCTGAGTATTATTTTTTACTCAAAAACATATTGGCCAATTTCTTGCCCTATAGCCTGTGAGCCATAAAACGAAGAAGTATATGCTGTCATCTGTCACTTGGTACAGCTAGATGTTAGCTGAATAAGTGTCTTATTATTATTATTATTGTTATCTATTAATTAGATGGAGGTTGAACCTCTTCATGAGGAAGGTCATGAAGGATTTGGGGTGTTTGACTCCCCACATCTAATTTCATAAAAACTACCAAATTAGCACAACATGACACAGTGATACAGGATGACATGAGGGGATTGGACCCCCACCTAATTTGTAAAAACTACCATATCAGTACCAAACTTGACACAGTGATACACGATGACATGAGGGTTTTTTTACCCCCCATCTAATACCAGAAAAACTACCAAGTCAGCACAACTTGACTACAGTGATACAAGATGATATGATGAAGGTCATGAGGTGAGGTGGAATCAATCAGCTCCAAACCTGATACAGTAATACAGGATGACATGAGGGGATTGGACCCCCACCTAATTTGTAAAAACTACCATATCAGTACCAAACTTGACACAGTGATACAGGATGACATGAGGAAGGTCATGGTGGGGCTTGGACCTCCCCCCTCTAATTTCATATCTAATTTTTGGAAAAACTACCAAATCAGCACAACTTGACACAGTGATACAGGATGAAATAAGGAAGGTAATGGGGGGGTCAACCCCCATCTAATTTCATATTCATAGAATGCTTGAAAACAATTTGTCTTTCTTTTCAGTAGTAGTACCTTTATGCATTTGACATTTATTGTTACATGAAAATCAAATTTTGATCCTTTCTGTTTATAAACAACTAAACATTGGCCCTCTATTCAGGTAGTACCAGGCAATTCCAGGTAAGGACGGCTAGTTAGATTAATAATAATGGAAGATAAAAATCACTCAAAAGAAAGAAAGGCACTGAAATTTAATAGTATGTTCCAAGAACTACAGTACAAGCAAAATAAAAAATCATGCAGTTACAATAAATATAACTGAAATTATGTCAGGTGGTTGTTTGCATGTTAGTTCAATAAAATATCTTTCATCAAGAGTTCATAACATGATTATTCTGAAGCTAGAATTTTCAATGATTTATTCTCTTTTACAATTTTAACTCAAGAAAAAACAAACAAATTATCTTACAAGCCCTTCTAAATAGTAGCAACAATATCATTATCTGACCTATAAAAGGCATAAATATTGTTAACTTTATCATATATAATTATATTTCTACAATAATATGAATGTGTTCTGAAAAACTTCTAACTTCAGAATACCAGCTGGCTAAACCTTATAATTCAATGGGATTAAAAACTTTTATGTGCCTGAAAAAATAAAAAATACAGTGTAATCACTAATAATACCTTCAAAAACTCAATCTCTCTGATACCCACCCTTGTCTAAGATCCAACTTGACTAAAGAGATAAAAATATTTTACTTCTAAAATCTATCTTATAGAATTGGTTCCAACAGTTACTAACTTGATAAGAGTTTAGTCCCCAATTTATTTTAATTATTGTCAATATATTTATTTTCTCATGAAATGTTTTAGTTATTGTAATGTGATCACTCAGTGATGGCCAGTTCTGAAAATAAATAAATCAACCTCTCAACAGCTGTGTATAAAATACACATACCAACCTGATGCTAAACAACCTGTCTTGGATTTATAAGTAAGAAATTTACAATACCCATCTTCTGAAATAAATATTTAACTAATCTATACACCCACTTAATAAAATTATACAATGCCCTTTCAAGCATAATTTAATTCATACCTCTTTAACAGAGTTTATAACTTACAATATAACTATTTTTGAAGACTAAAGCACAAAATATTTTGACATATTACTTCAAAATATCCATTAATACTTGTTGTTCATTTCTTAAGATAGTAGATTAATCATTAGTACTAGACTTTATAAAGTATTCTAGACTTGCAAACACAAATTAAACTACCAATCATTTTCACATTACCTTTCACCTTTTCAGAAAAACTCTAGCTTCACAGGATGATGAAACACCATTAAAATACCTATGATTAAATCACATAATATTAGAATTTCCAACAAAAAAAAAGGGGGGATAATAAATGAATTCTAAAAACATCAAATGGCATATCTCAAGAGGCATGCAAAATTCCATTCTTAGTAAGCAAATAACTGAAACTAAAATTTTTAGCATATGAAATATAATAGCTTCATTCACAAAAACATTTTCCTGGTAAAAATTATGGCATTCAAATTCTGCCTAATTTCAATTTTTCATTTCTTCAGAAAAAGTAATTTTACAAGGTGATGTACTACCCTTCAAATTTTTTTAGTTAAACCACTTAAAATCGGTACTTATGATAAAATAAGAGTTAAAGAAATTCTGAGCTTTACAATTCAACTGATTTAGCTCAAATTTGACTCTCAATAATCAATTTAACACAAACTAAGATTTATGTTATTCAAAACATAGTACCTTAGGTAACTAATAAGCACAGATACATATTCATCTTTCATTAAATCTCAGCTTTTATTTCCTCAAAAAATTCAGGACAATGTGCTGCCTTTGAACTGGTTATAGTTTCCAGGCATTGAACAATGTTTCAAACTGAAGGCCTTCTACCTACTCCCCTACATTTACAGTTTATTTACAAGTACACATATGGTGACTAAAAAGCTACCTTCATTGACAAAATGATACACTCATTTAAAATGAACAAGTTTTGGGTAGAATTGGTCATAAATGTTTAGGCCCTTATGCCACTTCTATAGGAACAGGCACAAAATGCAAACACTGATGTTTCCTTAGTGCAAACTTAGATAATAGCCTATCTGCACTTTGTCCATTGCAAGGAATCAGACCCAATTTTAGTGTTGTAAGTCCATAAACTTATTGCTGACCTACTGAACAATATGCAAACACTATATTTTCAACATTGATTAAACATTCTAACCTCCTAATAATAACACAATGAACTCTTGAGATTAGAAATTTTATTGATTTAAAAAGAGTATCAAAATAACAACAACCTGAGTTGTTTTCAACCAACTTCAAGTAAATGCATTTTATTGTCCAATTTTGTTTGGTAAATCTTTGTATAGTTAAATCCCTTTTGTATTTTTTTTTTCCTATAATCAAAATTAAAAACTGTAGTAATTGCTTGTATGTATACACATGTACTTCCTCAATGTATACTGTTACAAGTTGATAATGACATGATTTCTACATTTGAAATGTCTGATGGTGCAATGCATTTGAAACTACTAGTATTCTTATAGGTTTTTACATGTGTGAGAATTCACATGTCATAAGTATTTTCTGTACCTTAGAGGTTATCAGATTTCAGGTATAATAAAATAACCTCTCAAACAGGTTTGTCGAATGGGACCAAAATTACACATCCTTCTTTTTGTGATGACAGTTAAGATGTAACCAATTATCCTCTTTGCCAGATGAATAAATGAATTTATATATATACGTGATATGCACAATGTTTTTTAATGCTGCAAATAATTATTTTATCAAATATACTGGCTTCAGAGTACATTAATTAAACTTTATGAGGTAATTTTATCCCTGCCCAATGTCTTTTCTGACACAAACTACATAATAAGTCTTACAAAAGCCAGGAATATTACAAGACAGAATCAATAACTGGGCTTTTTTTCTTTCATTTTTTTTTTTTTACAAAGGTAGGTATGGTATTGTTTCATCATAGGCTGAGCATTTTCAGCAAAACCTCAAAGCCTACCTCCATACAAATGATGGAACAAGCTGTAGTAGTTATTAAATTTCAAAAAAATAATTTGAATATATTGAAACTATATATTTAAACACAAACAAAGCATGGGATTATATGACAGGAAAAATTATTTTACAGCAAAACAGGTACTATATTAACACATGTAATTAGTTTGTTGTTGTTTTTTTGCATAAAATTATCCAACAAAATATGCTACATTATTTTACTTATTAAATCTAAAGAAAATTTAATCCAATTCAACTACTGAAAAAAAAAAAGTATAAGCTAACAGCTTTCTATATACCTGATGAATTATTAAAGCTATTAAAATGGACGTATAACTGACAACCTTCTTCGCATATACATGTACACACACAAAACTAGTCTTGAATTATGTCTGTTAAGTCATTCAGAAGTTAAAATCAAATATAAATGAACACATTTATTACATCTACACATATTGCTAAACAATAAAGTTGTTCACAAGTAAAATAAATTCATGCTGGAAAGATATTTTATTTCACTAATAGTATAACATCACTTTAAGAAAACATATTACAACATCTTAATGTATTTTTTATGATTCTAGTCTTAGAAGTATAGATATTTTTTTATTTTCTGAATATCAAGCTGATCCAAAGAGAAGATAGTATGAAATTAATTTCTCAAACAACTTTGAAAATTGAGGCACCACATAGTGACATATTTTGTAACTTTAAATGTGATAAATACATTTAAATGTTTACAATATCAAAATTTGAAGGCTACATTAATGATGTCACTATGTTTAAAAGTTTTAAAGTAAATTCTTACCTTGCTGGACAGCTTAGCTCACAACTCAGTACTAAGTAATTTTCTGAAACTACTATCAGTGACAAGATATGTATAATGTGTTTTGACCAAAGAAAAAAGGTATGCTTCAATTATCTTTGTACAATACTAATTACTTCCTTTTGCAAATTCCACTGGCATGCATGCATACCTAAGGTTACATAAATAACCATCAGAACATAGCAAATACATGATGTACATATGATGTAACATTAACAGTTGCTGATATAATTCATGCAATAATGGTCTGCTTGATACTGCAATTTCAGGCAATATAACCACTACAACCCTAGCTACTGCAAGTGGATTATACAGATTATCAAACATTAATACTGTACGAGATTATATTTTAAAATAAAAGTGTAAGACTCACAAGTACACAGTCTTTCAGCCATAGTAAGTAAATCAAACATGTATGTATGTATGTTTAAGTGCACATATACATCTAATGCAGTAACCTCAGATTTTGTTTCAGAAACAGCTGACTCCTCATCCAATATTTGTTCAAATTTCCAACTTGCATGCAGGTGCATTACAAACAAAATACATGTGACTTAAAACATTAAAATTCAGTGTTATTTCACTGTACTGATCCAACCTTTACTTTAGTCAAGGCACATGGGACTTCTATCAAAATGTGTCGTGTTAATGTAAAAATTATAATAATTTTCACATATGTATTTTATTCTATGTAGAGTTTGTTTAACCCTTTCCCTGTTTTACATCATTTACTGGTTTTTATGGATATGCTTATTTCATTACTTACCCAATTACGTAAGAGTGAAGCACATCCTTCTAGTATTATATAAAGAGAACGGAATAGAGAGTCCTAGGTTTACATTTTCTCATGAGCGAAAGTAACTTAACCTATCATTATTTCCTTATTCACATGCACTTTAAGTATCACACATGATACTCGTATGAAGCTCTCTCCTAATCTTATACGTTGGACCAAAATAACTAGTTCTTATTGCACAGGACAGGGAATACTATTTTTAATGCTGGCTTCTGATGGGCAATCACATAATGCAAAATGTCTTTACTTGTGACTAGGTAACCATTTCAGTCAGAAAACCTTCACCAACTATTCTTGAATATATGCTTTTATTTCAACATAAGGCAAAATATCTTAGCTTAATTAGGTTCCCTCTCACTTAGAAACCCAATGATAATCATTTGGACAAAACACTGAAAATTTTTATTCTTATCTTTTCAGAGAATTTGTAATCACTGTAACTTTAATTATGGACACAGGCTACTCTGAGTACTTCTATTTCATTCAGTAATTCCAATTCTTCCTATTCTTAACTTTTAACAAGAACTTTTTGCACTAAACAATTGCCTTTTCACTTCAGTGTCCATCAGTGTTGTCTAGGCATGAGGTGTATTATATAATAACTTCTACAGTAATAACTATTATTAATAATAAATAGACTTTAATTATGAGTAATGGACAAACTAAAAAAATCTTCTATGATCACTTTGACCAAGGTCATCAGTTAGATACCTTCACTGATAGTGATGTTTTTGGCCCTTAACCAAAGAACACCAGGTGAGGTTGGGCCTACTTAGTAAAATTACCAAGTACTGAAGCAGAACCATCACATTTAAAGTTTCATGCACAATGCCTATCACATTTGGCAAATGTAGTTATTACTATTTAAGAAATTTTGTTATATATTAAATCTAGCTAATGTTGGTGCTAAGTTGTGGTATTTTTAGTATTTAAAGTGAACCTTTGAATTAATTAGAAAGCCTTGAAAATTAAAATTCATTCATAGTGATATATATATATATGTCCCTTCAAATACTCATAAAGGTATCAGAAAAAGTACCCAAAACATAAATAAGAAGCATATTACATGAACATTTGTTTTGTAAGATACATTTGTTTTATAAAAATGTATTTTATGTTCACACATGAGGGTGTAAAAAGACCATAGCACCATAGCATACATTATTAAAAAAAGCTTAAAGACTAATTAAATAACCATATGCCTAACACATGAGCATTTTAGTTTCTGATTATCACTACAGATTAATACGTTCTAAATTTAACAATACACACAGAAAGAGAGAAGGATGATTGTGAATCAACTCAGGTTAAAAAAAAAAGTCAAAACCAAAGATGCATGCATTTTTCGAAGAAGAGAGTAGCTCTAAATCAACTCACCATTTATCAAAATAATTTTTCCAAGAGAAAGCAATAAATAATGAGCCTCAACTTCAAACAAACCTACACACATGTCTGGTAAAAAAAAAATAATGGTAACCAGCAATGTAAATACAATGTTTTTTTATGGTGTTCATTTTCTTAGATAAATGGTGATAAAGAACAAACTAAAAAATATCTATATTTAGATATCAAGTGATAGTTCACTTCAATGAAAGAAAGAAAATTTTCTATTCACTATTTGCATTATACATTCTACTGCTATGTGAAATTAGAAATTACCATATATTCCAGTGTATAAGATACTTTTTACTCATAAAAAAAAATGTCTGATTTTACCCCTCATCTTGTACACAGGTTCAAAAATACAGTTCTGGTAAGAATTCTTATGTTAATAGCACATTTAACCAAAACTATGTTGTAACTTTTACTTTTGTTTGCTTTTTTGAGTAAGTGTGTTGACACTGTGCCACCTACTACGTTATAATAACATATTCGTAACTGTATCATTTGTCTTGATTCTTCCTAACTAGAAGTTATTTATCTTGCACGTTAGTTACAATCAATCAGGACATTTTTTATTTGAAATGTATTGATCTCATCTGTCATACTAAAATGTTGCTAATATTAAGTAGTATTTCAATTTTTATCATCCCATGTACACAAGTTTCTTCCTTTCTTTGTAAAGAAACACCCTGATGGAAAAATGACGAAGAGCCAGTTACCTTGTCAAATTTAAACTGAAAGTTATTGCCCATGCTAAAAGCACCACCAACTTTGAAGTGGCCTGCCAACATGGCATTACAGAAAATAAGGTATGATCTTGAGGAAAATCGAAGGAAGAACTCCAAAAAATGCATTAAAACAAATGTGCCAGTTGAGAAAAGAAGCATGCATGCATGCATGGCTGGATCTGGAAGAGCAGTTGTGTATTTGGGTGGAAGATCAAAGAAAATGTGGATATATGTGGTGGTAAGAAACCTTATTCACTTGAATCATTTATGCAAAAAAAGACATAAACAATTGTAGAGGTGGAACGAGTTGGTGCAGAAGATTTACAAACACAAGCAGTCTAAAATTGAAGCAAAAGACTAAGATATCTCAAAAATTACCCAAGGATCTTCAAGGAAAGGTGACAAAATTGATTAAGAAATGAAAACAATATAGCTTTGAACTATGCACAATAGGGAATATGGATGAAACACCTGTTTGGTTTGATATATCATCACCATGAACAGTAAATAAAAATGAGCAAAAACAGTATTTGTCAAGACAATTGGATGCCAGAAATTGAGGTTTACAGTGGTTCTTGCATGTTTGACTGATGGAACTAGACTGAAGCCTATGATTATTTTTAAGAGGAAGACAGTACCTAAAGAAAAATTTCCAAATGGTGGTGTTGTGCATCTGCATCTAAAATGTTGAATGGACGAAAATGGTAAAAGTTGTGGATATGAAGAGTTTGGAACAAGAGGCCTAGTGGTACTTGGCAGAGAAAAAGTCTTCTTGTGTCGGATTCTTTCAGCACACATCTTGCTGATTCTGTTAAATGTTATTTTGCCAATACAAGACAAACCTCAAATAAATACACTTAATTTGCTCAAAACATCTAGGGTCACCTTATACACCAGCAAATACGGTAACTGAAATAATCATACCATTATCTTGTGCTAAATAATATATGTACTATATTAATAATATGTATGTGTATAAGCATTTCTGAGAAATTATTACAATTCTAGAAACTGAATACATGAGATACCAGAACACGCAATTAAATATAAAACAATTAAACTTTTAGCTACTGATAAAACTGATAAGAGAACTAAAAATGATACATACTTGAAATACATCATTATAATAAAAATCTATAAAATCTTGCTTTCTGTAAAGGCTGGAAATAAACAGTATTCAGATCTATGTGTTATCCTGTTAGGCTTGATAAAACACTTTGAATATAAGATACATTATAACAAAATTGTTTAAGTACAACAGAATATAGCTGTCTTACATAATTACAGCATACTTCTGAAGCTTAAATGAAAACACAAAAGTTATCTTAATCTTTCTAAGAAAACAAATTTCGAGTACTCAAACTATTCACACCAGTTTCTATATTTTTACTAGTTTTGCTACATTTGGCTAGAAAAATACATATTTTCATTAATTTATGAAAAGAAACTCAGCTTAACATACCAGAACACTTGTTTGAGTTACTTTAAACTTGATAAGGTGTATTGGTCATTATAAGAGAGGAACTAATTAAATGAAAAAAGCCAGCATATTTCATGTATGTATTGAATATTCACACTTCAGATCAGCTAAAGATGAATAACTTTGTTTTGTACATTCCACCTACAATCATACATTAAATTGCCACAGTTTTTAAATGAACAAATAATCAGAATTTGAAAAACTTTACAGTTACATTTTTACATGGATAAAATCTGACTTCATTTTTCATCTAAAAATTCTCTCCCACAGTTGTCATGAATATTAATAAAAGCCACTACCCACACAAACATTATTTTTCATCTTGAAGTATCACCCCTTTTAGAATGCCTTCGTTTAGACGATGAAGATGAAGTACTTCTACTGTGATGACGAATAATGCTACTTGAAGACCCTGGGTGTTTAGATTCATGGCTTTCTAGCAAAGATTTCTTTTGAGTAATAGGTCTCAGAGTTTGGTGAAAAAATGAATTTGATATCCACACAACAAAAGAAAAGAGCTGTAACGGTCGCTCACTACAAGAAGAACAAAAACTATAATTAGTACAATGTATAAATGAAATTCTAAGTTTCTTTAACTCAAAATTTAATTCTTAGATTGTTTCATTGTATTATAAGATACAAGCTGCATAAACAGGAGTGCAACATTTTATAATAGCCATTTAAAAAACTGTTGTTTAGGTAATACTAAATTAATTTCAAAAATTCAGCATCAAAAAACATATTTCATTAAATGTGCTAATGTACAAATAATTAACAATTTCTTTTATAAATAAATTTCAGTTTCCATGGCATCATCAAAGTGGTTAAGTTAAACCCATTCTTTACCTGAAAAACATATGGGGCCAAAATTTAATTCAGGCTTCCAGCAGCTAAAGCAGATAAGAATATTCACAAAGTTCACCTGGTTAAGATTCCAATCTATTGTACGTTAATCACACTTATTAGCTAGTATTCATGTAAAGCTGAGTAGCCTGAAACAAATTTTGGATAAAGGACACAACAACCAAGCTCAGATGAGCTTCAAACCCACAATTTTTCAATTTACGAGTCCAATGCTTTAACCTCTAGGTCACACAGGTCCTCATTATTGTGTTTGAATTTAAATATAATTCTAGAAAAACAAAAAACTGCAAAATAAATTAAATATTTTTCATTATAATGGGCCTTTTTCTTAAAGCAAGTGCTGAAAATTAATGTGTTATATGGGAGTTCATTAATAAAATATAAAATCAAAAAATGAATAAATACTTTTACTATTTAATGACAAAATTTTCAATAGTTCATGCTCATGTCATATATAAGGATGAGTTTGTAATCTAACAAAGGCTACTTTTGCTGAAGAAATATTGAATTTTATAAGTATTGTCATGAACAAAAATTGAAGATACAGAGTTGATACTTTTGTGATACTTAAAGATTTTTAGTTACAAAATTTACTTACGGAGCTGAGAGTTTATATTTGACACACTGTATCACAGGAAGTTTAGTTCAGACTATATTAATAATTAAACAAGAAACATTGCATGGGTAATTTTGTTGCTTCTAAGATTGCCTACCAGCTTTGGCTGATTTCCACAACACAATAACTTTCCCAGCCTTCCAAACAATAAATAGATGTACGATTCTTAAAGGGCTAGCACTTTTATAGAAACCTTTAAGCAACAAGATTACTGAAACACATGAGGTTTTTAGGTAGTGAACATTGAGAAGTACATGTGGTAGTTCAATAATCTAAATAAATGTATAAAAACAACAAAACAAAAAGCAAATATAAATATTAGTATCCATTATTACAGCCCTAAACATTAAAAGCAGGAGAAATTAAATAAAGTGATACAAAAAATCAGCACAGAGTTTATAAAAACATCATTCCAATACTACTGTTACAAACAAGATAATGTTAAGTTTATACAATACCATACACTGTTTCGGTGCGACTACTTTCCATTACTTTTAATTCAGTCATGTCATCTTGAATATGGGTTTTTCACTAAGTGCTGCTTTATTTAAATCAATTAATATGAAAACTTTGAAAGATGTAGTTATATATATGTGTTTCACATTAATAGTATTTGTGATGTTATTGTAGTTCTTATATAATAATTGACAGAAAAAATAGATTCGTACAAATTAGTTTATGTTAATCTATCAGGACACTGATACTCACTCTCATGTACTATTTTACACATTATTGCTACATAATAGATACTAAAGATGTTGCCTTGTACTAATTACTTTCTTGATCCTTATTTCTTGACAGACTGGAAAAATTATATTACAAGCTTACCTTATTTGTCTTACAGTGACCTGATACACACACCTGGAAATGATACTAGGAAGGTAATGAAGAGCTACATGTTACTTGAAGATGATAAGTTCTTCACTATGGGACATGTTTGGTATGTTATGAATTTTGTGCAAAGCTACACGAGAGCTGTCTGTGCTAGCCATCCCTAATTTAGCAGTGTGAGACTAGAGGGAAGGCAGTTAGTCATCACCACCCACTGCCAATTCTTGGGCTACTCTTTTACCAACAAATAGTGGGATTGACCATCACATTATAATGCCCCTACAGCTGAAAGAGCGAGCATGTTTGGTGTGAAGAAGATTCAAACCCATGACCTGTAGACTTCGAGTCGAGCAGCATAACCATCTGGCCATGCCTGGCCTATGGGACATATGATGACTTGTTTTATACACAGAATTGCTAATGACATCCCTGTGTGAAGGTAAATTACCTAGCCATTTAAATTGCATATATATATTACTTGTTGGTGGGTGAGATATGTTACATAACTGTATATGGCAATAATTTAATATTTCGTGTACTACACCACACCCATTAACATTCTACATCACAAGATTCCAGCTCCTGTGATATAATGACCTAAGCTTCATTTGGGTGACTCATTTATTTTTTAACCATCTTATTTTTGAAATGTTCAACACAAGAATATACACTACAGTGAAAAATAAATAATACAATAAAACTGTTCCCACAAATAGGATTATAGTATGATGGTTCCCATGATATTTCAGTCAAAACTAGTCTGCATTTATCCACAATTTTCTGCAAATATTATCGTTATAAAACCTGTAAAAATCAATGCTAAGGCCTTTCTTAAACCTATTTGTACATGAGAGAGAACAACAGCTGACAGGCATGTTTACAAGAGCCCTCAATTACCCACTGAAACAACAAGGATCATTAAATTTGCCATGTGACTGATGGCATTGCCCTATATGTGTCTATTCAAAATAGAAAATTTGTTGAGTGCCAATGAGTGAAAATTGTGTTAATACATTAGGAATAGTGGAGAAGTAAAGAGTGTTACAACTACTAAACCAAAGTAGGTAGAAGAGGTAATGTATAAAGACCCATTGTTTCTTGCCAATAGCTTGTTCTTTAATTTATAAGTACAATTAAGAATTTTGACAACAATATTGATTTTTGTTTTTCTTTTCTAAAAAGTGTGAATGGTTTAAGTAGTCACTTAAAGAACACAAGTCTTGAACAGTTTCTATCTTTTGATGTAGAATAACCATCTAAGACTAGAAATACACAAAGTTTGTTAAAATATAAACTAACAAAAAGCAACAACAAATTAATCCACTTTTACAAAATAATATTTACTCATACTTTAGTTACACACAGAACAGTTTAGATGGGAAATTAGGATCTTCTTGGATACAAATATGCTTTGTTTGTCACTGTCAAATACACATGTCAAACTAAGTTCAATACAAGTAATGGAGAATTATATACACATAACATTGAAATTAGTGTACAAATCTTACACTGTGTATTATGGAAAGTCTTGTGCATTTTCCTAGAACAAATCTCTCACATATAAATAAGTTTGGTTCTACAATTATAAGTACAGTACTTACCAAGCACCAGTGAGAGGAGTTGCCTCATTACCACTGATTATCAAAAGAGGAAACAATATAGAGAAAACACAGCCACTGAAATAGAAATTCAAATTAATAATTTTGTTTAAAAATGATAGTGCTTATCTGATTATTATCACAGTGATTAATAACAAAATTGTATTCCAGGCAAATAACGTTTGTTACCAAACATCCTACACTTGAAATGGCCATATTACTGAAACTGCATACTTCTAAAACAGAAACATATTTCCTAGTTTTTTTATACTTTATTATATTATAAAAGAAATGTTAGCTTCTCAGTCAAACAACTAGTTTTGATTATTATAATATTTTATATGAACCACAAGCATTTCAAGTAAAAAAACAAAAACATATTTATTATTTGGAGAGGTTTAGAAATATAGTGGTCTGAAATACGCACAAAAAATTTACATTCGTGTAGTTTTAGACAAATATTTTGGGTTTGTTTGCAAACATTTTGACTAAAATTAATTTTTCACTTCAAATATATATAAAGATATCATAAGCTTCTTGAAACATACTGTATAATAAGCTGCAAGACATACATTTATGTGTAAAATCTGCTAGAGATTGTATCTGTATTATGCTATTGGCTATTGGAAGAAACAGTTTCACTTCTCTATTGTTTAGCTACGTATTTAGAAAGAACATGAACTTAAATTATAAATATATATATATACATAACTTATCCAAAAATACAATCTACATGTACCTTTGTTTCTGTCATGAGGATCAGCAACTTAGAAACAATCTATATAATAGTTTTTTAACAAATCAAGAAGGAATTAACTATGAATTTCTTTGAATAATTTTATGATACCCTTATAGAACACATCTTCAACACTTTTCTATAACTTCACAGAAAATAATCACCTAATGTTTAAACATGTAATGTGAAAAAAAGTTATTTGAGGCTATCTATTCTCCTTTAACTTCTCTACTCTGAAATATAAAACTTTTATTCATAATTACAGCATTCATTAAATGTGGACTAAGATCTTGTATGATTCTGTTTAAGTTAAGAATGCATGAATGTAATATCTTGACATCTAAGGTTGCAAAAAAGTCTCCTTACCATCATCTACAGACTCAAAAAACCCAATGATTCATACTTCTACAGTATTATTTCCTCAATGTTGTTCTTTGATGTATTTGTCAAGTAATTTCCAATGCATAATTTCTAGAAATATACTGCATCTTTTGAAAGTTAGTATTTTTAACTGTGAATCATATATTCTTTCTGAAATAGTTCTTTTACCTTGATCTTAATGTTATAAGAAAGTATGTGTTATGGAAACAAAAAAATAAGTTAATAAAGCCCCACTCTTGTGTCATAATTTTTTGCAGTAAAAGCACAAAAAATATCAACTCATGAATTCAATCAAATTTAAATAATTCTTTTCAATGTGCTTATCAGCCTCCATTTCATGGATATAGATCTGTGCGATGTCAAGAATTATTAGTTTGACAATTGTGTTATTGTAACCTTTACAGAAAACTAATACAATTAAACTAACTAAACTAAGGGTTGCAGCATATTTAAAAATCACAATGAGCAGAATCTCTAAAATATTAAGTGAATATTTGCAACAATATGTTATCTCTCAAGTTTAGTCCCATTTTTGATGAAGCAAAATTCTAAACTGTTATATTTTAATACATGTGTAACATGTCTAAGTAATTCTCTCACTATCATAACTATCCCTGCCTATTTATTAACAACAAAAACATATGAAACAAAAACAATTTAATAAGTTAGGGAATGATTTAAGAAAACAGGTTAAAGAAAACCTTAAGCTAATGATAATTAATATTTGAAATTATACTTAAATTAGATATTAATAGTTTTCACAACAATCATTAAGTTGATCAGCACTGTGTTACAGACATATCCGGGACTCAAAATGTAAGCACCATACAAAAAGAAATAGTCAAAATAGTTACTCTTTTTCTCTTACACACTAACAGTTTTGTGCATGACAGAACTACTTTGAGTGTTATACACATTTCAGTGATTAAGAAAGCAAAGTAACCGATAAAGTTCTAGGCTGAGATATATGCTTGTTCTTTATGGTGGCAAAACGTGCTACAGTCTTTACTGCAGTTTTATTATGTGAAGAGAGAATAATCATAATTAAGATCCTCCTTATGATTCAGTTTTGGGTTGACTAAAATGTCTCTTCAGTCCATGAAAGTATTTTTCTAATCTAATCAAAATATATAAATAGATGGCATACATCCCTTGACACCTACTTGAGTTAGCATATAATAAGCAATATGTATAATGGAAATTTACGGTCGTTGGATATACTAGATTGTTCAGTTTAAGAGTTATTAGTTGGTTCATTTATTGATTCAGCATCTAATGATTATTTGGTGTTCATGGCAAGTGTTGAAAGTTAATTATTTTGGAGGCAAGGGTTGTGACAGGTTTCATTGTGTATCTCTGTGCGAGTCATATGTCTTGCATGTAGTTTAACTGTTATACTAGGCTTTTGTAATTCTGTTGACGCCATCCAACTTGAAGTTTATAAGTTTTTCTCATTATGTGTCATATTGTTGTTACCAGAGGGCTAGATATTTCTAGATTTTTCTGTCACATGTTATAAATAGTGCAGATACAGAGTGCAAGTAAAAAATAATTTACTGAAACTAAAAGGGAAGAAAGTGAAGTTAGACTGCTTGCTTGTCAGTTTAACCATAATGAGTGATTTCTAAAGTAAAAGTATCACAGCTTGTCTTGTAACAGCAGAGATATGGGAGAATAATCTGTCTTGTCAATTGGGTTCTAAATTAATTGAACCAGCCTGTGTGGATTTTTGATGAAAAAGAGAAGTATTTAAAGTTCTAGATTTAACTGTAATAACCAATAGTGTAACAATTTTTTTTGTACATATGTTTTGAATATATTACTTTACAACAAGTGGATTGTGTGTTGTCTGTTGTTGAAATTTATTGCCAACAAGTTACAGACACCTACTGCAAAGAATCCAGCCCTATAAAAACCTGAGAACTGTTATTTCCAGCTTCTTCTTGTTTTTTACTGGATCTATTTTATCCAACTTATGTGACACAAGAAAGTGCCAATATGAAGTGATGTTCAGGAAAGTAAATATCCCTTCTGCTGCATTTGTTTTAGTATATTATAAAGCAGCTCAATCTCACTAATATGGTTCCATTAATTGGAATTTAGTAAAGAACACAGCAGATTGCTGTCTAGTAATGGGAATAAGAAACCTAGCTACACCTACAGGATCTTATTTTTGGAATTAATTGATGAACCTTTTATTTTCTTCTTCATCATCCAGAGGATAATGTTTAAACTGATGCATGAGTGATAATATTTATCTATGCTATTTTACACTCCAGGAGGTAGTGCTGGGATACTTTCACTAGTGGAGCATTTTAATTTTCCTGCTTTGTGAACAAAAGAACAGTGCTTACCTATTGCAACATTGTTATTTTCTCACAAGAAAGCAGACTCATGTTTATTCCATGTTTACACTTAATCACAAGTTTTAGATCTAATTTGACCTTCTACTAAAAGTATAATGAGCCAAATTTGACTTGCAGGGTTTTCACATAAACATTAAGCTATTTTCAACTAACATTTCTATAATAATCAGTTATTAAAGTACAATTTTACTGCAAACAAAACTAAGGCATAGCATTCATTCACATGACAGTAAGTAAATATGTCAGTCAGACTTCAAAAGATGGTTGTGAGATTGCTCCAGGGACAAGACAGGCAGAGAAGAAAATACAAAATGTTTGTTCAATCCAGTCCGACATAAAGTTGATAGGGCCAAAAATAGGGGGGTCTGCAAGTTGATACTGTTGTGTCATCGAGGTCACGTGACTGGTGTGGCACCCTCTAGTTTCTAGAACTATCTTGTTCCTTCAGGAATGCTCTAGTATTTACTAGATAGGGTAGGCTGGTATATATAAGAGGGGGACAATGTGACGCGGTAATGTGTGTATAGACAGTGAGTAATTGAACTGCAGTCAGAAGTATTATTGACGTTCGTTGATATAGCGTTTGTTTTAGCACGATTGTTGAAAATAAGTGTATCGTAAAGTTGTATTCGGAAAGAATAAACCAGTTTTTATTAAGTAAAGAACTTGTGTCGCTAAAGTTTCGTCGGAACAAAGTTACGGAAAGTTAATTAACAAACAGAGACGTAACAATACAATGAAATGAAACCACTGTAAAGATACAATTTATTTCTATTTAAATGTTGTGTGGATTTCAATTCTTTTTGAATAAAGTTGAACCAAAATAAGTTTTTTTTAATGGTATCAAATCATTTTTAATGTGGTGCTTTCTTAAGCATGCCACCTCACAAGTTTATAAAAACAGTATTTCAACAGTCCATCACAAACATACTGTGCATGTGTTCTTCCAATGAACACTACTTTATGTTAAAGTCTTTAGCACACAAAATAAAATAAAGCAGAGCCAAAGAAATTCTCTCAAGGAGCAAAACCTTTCAAATTAAATGAGGTTAAGCACGAATAACATCACTAATTTTGCAGTTTAATTACATTGAAGCAATTATAATTTGAAGCTATAAAGGAACAAATGAAATTAAGAAAGCTTTAAATATTATGTTATTTGATTTTTGTTTTTGACTTTATTTAGTTAAGATGAGAGTTGAATTTAATTCTCATATTTTCCTCCCTAACGTAGGCCCTTAAAGAGTAATTGTAATTGCTTTAATAAAAAAAGTGTTAATTTATTATTAAGCTGTTTGACCTATAACATCACTTATAAGTGAGAACTTGACACAAACATACCACTAATTTGTACAGCAAAAAACACACAATTACCTTCACTACAGTTGATTAAGACAAAATCTCTATCATTTTAAAAGACATTAACTTGCCTATATATTGAAATGTAATTCAATTATATTCATCACAATTATTCAGAAAATTATTAATATTTTCTCAAAACCATTAACTTGCCTGTTATAGCACTTCAACCTGTATTTCATAACAATGATATTATTATTATTGTTATTATAAGACTGTGAACTTGTCCAAGTTCA